CCTTGTCTGCAACTTTTCCTTCAACCTGAAGCTACCCAAGCCCTGTCTAAACATTCTCAGGTCCTCTCACTCCATATTTTCATTGCAGATAAAGATACCAGGGTGTTACTTCATTGTTGTAACTCGAGCACCTCGTACTGAATTTAGCCCATGGTAGTTGTATATGTATATTTGTCAAATGGATGAACAGGGTTTGAAGCTTAAGCAGATCTTTACTTCCCATTGCCCATCATAGGTGCCTGTTAATGGACTTAGAGTGTAGGGAAGTACTTGGGACCCTAAACTGAAGTTTCAGAAAGACTGGTTTTGGAGTCATTGTACTTTGTTTATAGGAACAATAAAGGGCCAAGAGATGATGTTGGCTGCCAAAGAACATTCTTGTGACTTTCTGGTAGCTCTTGAACCTATGTAGCCTTAAGGACAAAAATCTGAGTTTGAGGTTGTTGGAATCCATAGAACTGGTGAGTGTGGAGCAGGCCTGTAATTACAGTGTGCCTGTAATCATAAGATTGAGAGCCATGACTTGAATCTGATGTGTTTCTAAATGCCTTTGTGCCTGTAATCCCAGAGGCTTGCCAGGCTGAGGCAGAAGGATTACAAGTTTAGAGTTGGTCTCAGCAACTTAGCAAGGCCCTAAGTAATTTAGTGAGACCTCTCAAAATAAAAAAGGGCTGGAGATGTGGCTCAGTGGTTAAGTGCTCCTGGGTTTGATCTTTGGTACTTGAAAAAAAAAATGGTGTGGATGGGGTGGAGAGTTGACAAGGATTCTAGGATTGAGGAACTACCTTGAAGCTTAGTCACAAATTATTTTAGGAACATAAAGCTAAAAGATTTAAAGAAAACAAACTTAATGGGTCTGTCTTGTAACTGACATGTTAGCCCTGTGACTTCAATGCTTGGTTAACTGTTCTCTTAATTCAGTAAAGTCAGCAATGTATCTTGAACATGCAGTTTTAGTGACTTGAATGGGAAAGATAAAGTGTTTGTTCACAATGGTGTCCCCCAGATTAAGGACCCAAAGGGCTACTTACCCAGTGCTCACCTGTGAGCTTCTGTGATGATTTCTCTGCTTGCTTTGTGTGCATTACTTTCTTGCCTCAAGTTCCCTAAAGGAAGATGCTTCTTGGCCAAGGCTGTGGGTTTTCTTGCTTTTGCTTTTTGCTGGGCTTAGTTCTTAAATCTGAGAGACAAATGTCTTCAGCTCACCTTGTAACTTGGCCTTTTAGAGAGAGAGAGACTTGATGTGATCAGAGGAAAGGCACTGGAATGCCCTGACCTGGTGCTGTGCTACCTTAGGTATGGAGAACCTTCTGGCTGCAAGTTAGTGTGGAGACCAAGGTCACTAGCCACTCAGTACCTTTCAACTCTGGGAGATGCTTGTCCTTGCCTCTAGCCATGATTCTTTACAGAGATTGTTTTCATTTGTGTTTACCTAAGCTTTTCTAGTCAACATAAGATTGAGAGCCATGACTTGAACCCTGTGTTCTAAATGTCTTTGTGTCAAAAACCCTTCCTTTTTTTTTTCTCTTCTGAATTTACTTTTTCTTTCCTGTTCCTAAAATCGTGTCAAAATCTCACATAACACATCTCTGTAACGGTGTCAGTCAGAAGCTTGGAACATCTTTATGTCATGATTTTGGATTTGTCCTGGCTTCCATGTTTTTGAGTTGGCAAGTTGGTGAGACAGGTTCTTGAAATAAAACCATACAACCGATTGCTTGAAAAATCAATGGTTTCCTTTGTTGTACTGTGTAATAGAAATCTGGACTTAAGTGGCTGAGGTTGGCTGGTGGGATGGGCCAAAAATTGAAAGTATGCTTTCATAATTATCTCTGGTATGAAATATTTGAAGTAGGGTAGAAAACCAAGTTACCAGATTTGCATGCAATTAAGTATATGGTTTGTCCTTAAGTTTTTTTGAAGAAACTATTTTTATCCTTTGCCTGCACAGACCCTTGACATGGGGATAGGGTGGATTGGGGTACGGATCTTGCAGGCAAGCAGAACAGCATGAGCAAAGGCAGAGAGTGAAGCACTGGACTTTTGGAGGGAGAAGGAAGAGCTCATGATTTTTAGGTTCCTGAATAAGCAGGCTGGAAGATTAGTTGTAGAGGCTCACTGGTGTTTATACCACTTCCATTGAGTAACTTACAGGTAAATGATAGGTAATAGGGAGCCATTGATGGTTTAAGAAAATCCTCCTAGGAATAGGCTGATTTTTGCATTGAGGTGAGGAAGGACCTTTCTAGAGGTTCTAATCTGGTGGTCCAGGGGAGGGTGAGAACCTGATTAGAAAGGTAACCATAGCAATGGAGTGGGGATCAACTGCATAGATTTAGCAGATGCTGTGTAGTGGCCATCTCTCCAGTCTTGCTGAGCCTTTAATTACAGAACTCTGGTTACTATATCAAGTGGTTGTGGAAACTTGTTCTTAGATACTATACCAAGTGAATTTAATGAGAATGCTGAGAATATATTTAAGATGTTTTTGGTTAGCAGTCTTGTCTTTCTTGGTGATTGTCTGTTGAAGGTTTGAAAATAGTGAAGAAGCTGATTGTCTTAGCTTTCAGATTTTTTTTTTTCCCTAAAACTAGGAATGACTGGGAGATAGAGACTTCTCAAGAACATCTTTTATGTGATCAGGAACTATTGGATCATTTCAACTTCTCTAATTCTTAGTATTGCCAGACAGGAGAACTAAAGTAATAGCATTAGTCCCACAATTCCACTTTTGCAAGAAACTATAGATATTGAGGTACACAGTGGACCATTTAAAGAAAGAAAGAAAGAAAGAGAAAGAAAGAAAGAAAGAAAGAAAGAAAAATCAACCTAAAAAGCCTCTGTGGCCTTTTGGAAGTAAACTTGGTGACTGTGGAAAAAAAATAGACTGCCTTCCTCTCTCCCTGCAAATTAAAATCCATGCTCTCACCAAACTAATACCTCATTATTATCTCTTGGAGCCCAGGAAGATGTAGAATATTCTAAATTGAGCTGTGCTAAAGTGTCTTTTTCATAAATTACTATATGGAGAATGACAGGAGGAAAACCAGTCTGAATTGGCACAATTGATCTCTAAATTAAGAGGCAAATATATATTGAAACATTATTTTTTAAGTCTTAAAACTAATGGCTCTGTTTCAGTAGAATATGGCCTTTTTTCCTTCCAAAGAGTTTCAGAGCCAATGGAATCTATAAATAGTGCACAGCCCAGTTGTCTGTGGTAGATTGAGTAGAGCAGAATCGCCTGTCCTTAAGTGAAGGGGAAGTAGCTTTACATTTTTAGTAACTGAATTGTTGGCCAGCATAAAGGTAAGGGCCATGTGAGCAACTTATTTATAACTTCCCATAAAGGTATGTGTCTGCCTCAAGCGGAGATACTGTCTGGGGTGTTTGAAATGTAAAAGTGCAGTAGAATCATTTTCCATACACAGCCTTCCTAGCTAGTTGGTTCAGTAAAGTGATTGTTCGCATCCCTGGGGCTTTCAGAAGGAGGGGTGTCAGTAGATGAGCTCGTTATTGTCCACCTCCTATGGAACACAAGGGACTGAGGCCATTATATTTGAATCTGGTTTTATGTAGTGAGGGATGTTTAGATATTCATTCCCAAGGATATTCTGGACATAAGTCTAGGCTTGGTTTAACCTGCTGGGTGTGGTCCTTTTGCCCTCGTCCTGTGGTCTAACCACACTTGGGTTCTTGTTGTAGTATTTCATGAATATAAAGCACTTTTTTTTTTTTTTTTTTACTTTTTCACAGGTTCAGTTTGACTATAGGTAGTTTTTCTGGAAAATAAAGAACAGAGTCAGGCCGAATTTTCTGGCTGCAGTGGGAGAAGGGAAGAAGACTAAAACATTTTCATGGCATCCTGTAAAAGTATGTTAAACCCTCTTGGTAGATGCCAGAAAATGGAATCCATCATTGCCCATTATTATTGTACTTCCTAGCATCATGAGTGAATCACTTAATAGCCATGAAAATATCTAATGAAAGTTTTAAGTTATAATAACATAAGGGACATTTTTGGCCCTCCTTTGGTATTCATTGTTTATTTTCAAAGAATCAAAAAAAATAATTTTTTGATTATTATATTGACCATTTAAAGCATCTGCATATATGGCTGAAAAGTAAACTTTGGCTTTTGTGCCAATATCATGGCTCTGTTTAGTATTCGGGCAAGTTGTAATAAGTGGTAAATGGCCCATTAACTATATGGGAGGCCTCATGGCAGCACTAATTTCAAATCGTGCTGGGTTTACAATTTACATATTAAAAAATGTTCATTTGATTTTGTTCAGGGATAGCACTGACATCCTATACAAACATTACTCCAAACAATCCTATTTATTGGTCCAATTATTTCAATTGAAAGATGCTGGTTTACTGCCTCTTAGTATATGTGAACAACTCTCAGTGAAACTGTTAGAGAATAGTTTGACTATAGTGGCAGAAAAACCTCACAGGGTTTCCATTCACTATTAATTTTAAGTCCCAGGATTAAGGATCATTTGTAGTATAATGTAACAGTGGGGCAGATATAGCTTCTCTTAATACCCTTTTGATATTTTGGGGAAAGCATACTTTTATATAAAGCAGTCACTTATGAATTGCATGATCGCTTTTTCTCACTACAAAATTTCATTCACATTTCCTTCCTTCTCCCACACCCTTAAGAGAAAGGACAGCATGCAGTATTTTGCTTTTTTTTTATTTTTTAATTTTTGAGGGATGGTTTAAGGTAGTTTTTAGGATAGATGCCAAGATAACTAGCTAATATTGTTTTAAAATCAGGCTCTTAATTAAAAATGCTTACATTTGTGCAAGAAAACTACATGTTAAAATGAATTTAGAAAGATTAGATTGGAATTGCCTCAAATTCAATTAAGCCACACTGCATGGACGTGCTGGGAATATCAATACAATCACTGTAAATTTTGTACAAACTGATTTGTTGCATTATCTTGCTCATCTAACATACGGTACTTTTTGTGTCCATATTGCAGACGGCAACTCCAAACTAACATGGCAGTCAGACTGTGTGATGTGGCTTCTCTGCTTAGAAGTGGTTCGTGGGCAGCAGAGCCTTGGACTGGGGTCTGTGGGATTTTTCTTAAATTCTGTAGGCTACTTTTTTTTTAGCATGTTGCAGGAGTGCTGAGGCCATACCAAACACTTGAACCTTTCATTTGGCATACTAATTGTTCTTATATTTAACTATATGGTATGGCCATCATTAGGACTTAAAGCACATTGCAATTTTAACTAGTGGTATATGTAGATCAGAACCATACTCTTGTATGTAACTTTTTATAATCTAAATTAGGATTTAGCACAGACTCAAAAGAGTGACAACATGCTTTTTTTTTAAAAAAAAAAAACAAGAAAAAGTTTTGGTATGGTCTGAATACTAAGTTACCGTAATTCTTTACATTCTGTTTACTATGTATTTTTTTGGTTACTACATTTTGAACTTATTTAAAATTCCTGATGCTCAAAAAAAAAAAAAAGTTGAAATTGTAAATCTGGCTGGAAATTATTTGCCCAGTAACTGTTGAAAGACTTTGCATTCTGTGAACAGTTGTGTTGAGCCTATCAATGGAATATGCATTATTTGTAAAATATAGCACATTAGTATCATTTTATTCTGAGCAGATGGTCCTATAGCTGAGAGATGCTGTAATTTTCAGTGCACACAGCCTACTGCAGCTGTTCACTTGAATGTTGGCTTAGGAGCTCATTCTTGCCACCTGAACATGGAAATAAATGTGCAATTAAGTGAGGAGTGTTTGTTGTCCTTGCTAAATCCTGCTAATTTCAGTCAGTGAACACTTTATTTCAAATGCCATCCCAAAGAGCTTTAGTCCGAATCTCATATTTACAGCTTTCATAGCTTCTGCACATACCCTAACTTTTGAATAGTGGTTTGTTTTAATTGGCTTTGGGCACTTTCATCTTGTAGTTGGTTCATTGTTTTCATAACTGCTCAGCCAGCATAGGTTAACCCCCTGAAGGGCAGTCCACAGCTAACATTCAACAAACTCAGTTATACTTTATTAGGAAATCTGAAACCTACCTTCTAATTTTCAAATAGATTTAAGTATAATAAAACCCATATCTTGAATTACTTGATTTTTTTTCTTAAGGATTTCCAAAGGTTTCTCTATTTTCCTTGACCTCCTTAAATTATTCTCTGAAAATATTCACCTGAAAAAGGTAGCTTGCAGCTTAGAAAACAAATACCCATTTCTTTGAAAGTGAAATGAAATCATGGAAAGGTTACAAGTTGTAACTAATGATTCTGCCTAGCCATTTTGGATTTGGTCTTTTTGTTTGTTTGTTTTTGCTTTTGTTTTGTATTTTAACTCCACAGCACCGATTTCTTGTCCATTCTGACCAGACTCAATCTGGTTAGTTAACCAGTCTCGATCTGTCTTTGTTGCCTTCTTTATTTATAAACATCTCTTGACAGTAGAGATTTCTTAGCCACTAATGTGCCCCGTTTATTTTTCTTAGGCAATTTGCTTTAAAAACAACAATTTTTTTTCTTTAGTCATAATGATAGCCCTCTTTCCCTCTCCTTTGCTTTTTTTTCTTTACCTCAGAATCTTTGCCTTTTCTATATTAAAAATTCCCTAAAATTAGCATCCCATCAATTTAGAGTTGTCACATTGAGCAGTTGTTCTTTGTGGAACTGAGTGGTGCTTTGAATGAAATGCAAAGGATAATCCTTTCAGTGATGCTTTGATTTTTGGGTTCCCCCCCAGTCTTGACTGTCCAAAGTTAGGTAACTATTGGAAAATGCTTTTGGAAAACTTGGGGCTATGGTTTGTGATTCTTGTTCAAAGAATAATAGGATTGGTTTTTAGGCGACTAGATCCACATTTGCTTAATAAGTGATTTTTGTAGAGTAGCTTGAATATTTTTGAGGCCATTTCCCCCAATTCTGTCACTTACCTTGTATTTGGAGTTTATAGATACCTTAAAATGAAAATTCCTTGGGCTGGTCTGTTTGCAAAAGTTGATTTATTTACATTGTTGTTTTGGTGGACTGGATATTTTTTTTTCCTCAGTCAAGGAAAAATATCATACTGAATTGTTTGGGGATTTTTATTTCAATGCTATAGTTCAGTTCCCTTGTTGGTGATCTTTAACTGCCAAGATTGACAAGAATAGCCTATTACATTCTACAAGGTAGATAAAATACAGCTACCCTATAAATCCTTTTCATTCCCTAACATATAACATTTTTCTTATTTCCTATCAATGGTGAGGTATAAGATATTGTCAATCAAATATGAAAAACATTTTCAATATGTAACCAAAACAGTACATGTTGACAAATTTATATTTTTTACAGTACTCTTGCTCCTTGATTTTAAGTTAATGGATGTCTGTCAGTTTTAGAATATTGAACTTCTTAGGCTAACTAAAAATCCTCTTCAGGTTTAGTAGGTCATTTTTTTTGGTTTGTTTTGGTAGCATGTTAAGCACTTTTATTTTCTAGTATGATTTTTAGCCAGGGCTCAATTCTTTGCCCTCTGGTACTCTGGACACTGCAGGTGAGTGAGGCTATGTGAGTAGAGCCAGAATGTGATGCTAGAAAATTCACAAGATTTAAGTTGTGCTCATGTGCATGTATGGAATATGTATGTGAAAATGTAATTGCAATATTTAATTGAATAACTTAATATGAAGTAAAAATTAGCTTAGGTGTTGCCCTTTTTGTTGAAGTTTTGTTGTAATTTCAGCAGAATAACTTGTGTTTAGTGACAAGTGTTTAAACTCTTGGATGGAATCTCTAATAGGTTGTGAAATATGAATTCTGACATTTCTTGTTTTCTCTGTTTTTAGCAGGTAATTGCTGCCATGGAAACACAACTGTCTAATGGGCCAACTTGCAATAACACAGCCAATGGTCCATCCACCATAAACAACAACTGCTCGTCACCAGTTGACTCTGGGAACACAGAGGACAGCAAGACCAACCTAATAGTCAACTACCTTCCTCAGAACATGACACAGGAGGAGCTAAAGAGTCTTTTTGGGAGCATTGGTGAAATAGAGTCCTGTAAGCTTGTAAGAGACAAAATAACAGGTATGCAGTTTTATATAGATAATTCATGTTGAAAGCGTTATGTTTCAGGATATGAGAGTATAACAAGTATGCTATTTGGAAATCATTCAGCACTGCTGTTATTCACATCTAGACTTTCTGTTACTGATTGTTCAGAATAGTGAAACTTTAGAGTTTTAAGTTTCCTTTCAAAGCATGAGAATTTTGAAGTGCAGTATCCACATACACACACACACACACACACACACACACACTCACCCCTAGTTGATTGCAAACATTAAGATTGTATGAAGCATACATAGGCCTCTTGCATATTTTATGTTGTTAAATTTGAGTGCTAATATATATTAAGTTGCGTTGCATACCTTATAAGCCCAAAATACCAAACTAAATATTTGAAGTCAGTAAAGGGTACTAAGTGTAGTGTAAAGAATGAGATCAGGAGTATGAACTCCTAATTAGTCGTGGGACCTTGGACAAGTCAGCTCTTAGCCTCAGGGTTCTCTTGGTAAAGTGAGGTAGAATGCAGAAAAGGGGTCACACTAGGTTATTTCTCAGGTCAGTTTGGATTTCTTCTGAGAGAATACTTTTGGCTGTTCTGTCATCAAGACTTCAGGGATCATTCTCTCCATAGGAGTTCCTAGATTTAGCACCAGAACTTGATTGGCCTCACAATCTTGTTTCCTTGAGCCAAAGATTAAAGTTCACAGAGGGAATTTATTTATAGAGTCAAACAAAAGCTGATCTTTATCATTCTATACCAAATCATTATATTTTTAACCAATTATATTGCTTTAAAGTTCACATTGATATTATCAGGAAAGTTCTTTTATATTATTGACTACTGATAATCAGATGGATGAGATTTTTCAGTTTCTTTTCCAAAATGAGACTGAGCAGCATATGTGAAATTTATAAACAGTTTTGAAAAGTTGGAAAAAGTGGAGAACAAAAGGCTCTCCTTCATATCTCTGTGAATTTCTTTTTAATTTTGTTCTTAGCAAACAATATTATTTTCATGTGCATTTGCTAACCTCTTTGACATAAATGATAAAATGTGATAAATGGCATGAAGACTGTGATATAAATTATATGTGGTTTGTTTTAATAGTCACATATACCGTTAAAAATGCTTAAATGGGGCCTGGGGTTGTGGTTCAGTGGTAGAGCGCTCACCTAGTACGTGTGAGACCCTGGGTTTGATCCATAGCACCACATAAAAATGGCAAATAAATGAAATACAGGTATTGTGTCCAACTACAACTAAAAAATAAATATTTTTTAAAAATGCTTAAATGCATAAAATCACATTTCTTTGTTATGAGACAAGGAATGGTAAATGAAAATATTAAATCTTACATCTTTGTATTAAGCAATTGCTATGGGAAACATTTTATAGATTTTCAAATCTTATCTCCGATCAGACTTGAATTATTCTTCCACAAACCTTTTACTAGTTATATGACATAATAGAGTAAATTTGACTTCTGCATCTTTACACCCTTGCCTCTCCAGCTTCAGTGTAGTGAACAGTGGTAATAGAAATGCATGAAGGCCAGGTCCGGTGGTGCACTCCTGTAGTTCCAGTTCAAGGCCAGCCTCAGTGACTTGGTAAGACTCTGTCTCAAAAAAAATTTAAAAAGGGCTAAAGATGTATAGCTCACATTAAGCACCCCTTGGTTTAAACCCAAATACCAATCAATCAATCAATCAATCAATCAATAGTAAAAATAAAAATATCTGATATCCCAGCTAGATATTGGAAAAACTCTGTTATTATTTGTTGTCCATTTGCTGCACCCCTTATTCTCTCCTCTTTACCTTTTCAGTGAGACGGAGGTAATGGATTTCCCCACTGTGATACAGTTTCTTAAAATACCTGATAACCTAGTAGCAGGATGTTTTTTAAGCTTCAGGAGATAATCGTAATTATTCCTCAAAATAAGTATCCCATTGAAAAATCTGAGAAATGCAATAGTTCTCTGTCCATGCTGCAGATAATTAGCATATTAAGAACTATAAAGACACTATAAAATGCAGTAAATAAAACCCATTCAATTTAGTTACCCAGCCTTATTTTATTACAGAATTTATTTGACAGGGGTGGGTGATGTACCCCAACACTAAATTTCCACTGAACATGTTGGCTATAAAAGCTTTTCAAGTTATTGTAGTTATCAGACAGTTTAATCTGAAATTCTTCCCTAACCTGATCACATCAATAAATGCTAGCATATTCATAAAATGAATGAAGTGATAATGAAGTATAAGTTTGAAAACTGAGAAGCTACAGCTGAGTACTGCATACCTCTACTTCTGTAACCCTGTTTTTATTTAGCTTACTTATTTGTAGTATGAGTGAAAATGGCTTTCAAAAGGGTCTGACTCATTTAGCTTTAAGCAAAAATTGCCTTAGAATTGTTTTTTTAAAATTCTGAACTTTTAAATAAATGTTTGTATTGGACAAAATAGTCTGTTAGATGGTACATATAAAAAACTGAGTTCTGAGTGGTTTTATGTTTCGAAGTAGTCATATATTTCTAAGACTTACTATTAACAACTTTAGGAAGATTTCGAAGGAATTTGTGGGAATGTGAACCCTGCCCTATTGAGTTTAGAATTGACCATATTGTGTAGTTTCTCAGTACATATTTTAGAGATAGGTCAGGATTCTTGGTTTCCTCTCTAATTATTCAACTCCTAGGGAGCAGCTGGGTCAGACTTCTGTATTTTGATATTATAGCAGCTTGAACGGTAACTATCTGGGTTATATGAAAACTTGAATCACTCATTAGGAAGGTGATTTGAAATTCTTCCTTTCACTTTTCTTTCTTAAACCTAATTTAATGATGAATTAGAAAACTATATCCCAGATACAAAAATACCTAGTTAGGAATGTGTGTGCCTGCCTCTTTCCTAAGTTCAAGAAGAGAGCATATAATTGTCAGTATTAGCAAATTATGTCACTATTTTGATAGAATGAGGATGGGGGTGGTACATTAGGAAATGTCTTCAGAAGCAAATACAATAACCTTCTCTCTAGCCTATATTCTATTTATTGTGCTGTTTGTCAGGCCCTCTCTTTGGGCTGGTGCCCAGCTTTATGCCTCAGCCTGTTTCCTCTCTATAGGCATTCATCACAAGAAGCCACTGTTGCTTGCACAGCTTAGCTGGTGTTGGTCCATACTTAAGAGTTCTTAAATCACTTTCAAGTTGTTGACACCTGCTGATGCTGCATTCTAGAGGAGTGAAATGAACTTTCTGTTGTAAGGAATGAGTAGAGCCAAAAAGCCCTGTAGGTGACCTTAGCCAACCCTTTTACCTCTTTCCAGCAAACAAGTGATGAGAGACCCAGGTTTGTGAAATGACTGGTTCAAGGCTACACAGCTATTACATAGTATAGAGAAGTGTTCAGGATATTGTCTTAGGATTCTCTATTCAGATTTTCTTCTTAGCCTATTGTTGGAGGCATGAACTGATTTTAAAGTTAAGCATAACCATGAAGATATAGTGACACATCCAACAAGAGGAGGGGATTTTGTGGGCCTATTTTTTTTGAAAGGAAGATAGAAGATTCATGAGGGAAAGGATTAAAGGATACATAGAATGAACAAGAACATCCATGCTTTTGTTAGAAACATTATCTGTGGTTTTGAATTAAGATGTTTTAGCGCACTGTCTCCTGAATCCATCAGCACATCTTTACCTAAGGGAATTAAAAAAAAAATTTGGGATGCCTTTGGACCTTGCTCTCAGAGAGTTCCCAGGGGATTTCAAAGCCTATCCATTTTGGGCATTGCTGGTGTCTCTGGAAGTCCCCTTGGGGCAAGTGGGAGAGGTGCTGTCTCTACAGTGCCTAATTCTGTGGCAGGCATTCAGGTGCTGGTCTCTCCTCAGCATTGGTCTCTGATGAGTTCATTCTTGGGGATCAGGACTAGAGATGTTGAATGTGAAAGTTCTGAGGCTGTGTCTTTACTGACTACCTGCCTTTCCCTGAGTGTGTATGTCTGTGTAGTTAGTGTTTTGGAACTCCGGGATGGATCATTCTCTAATGGTTACTTTTCTTCTGAAAGAAGAGCTAGACAATTATAGAGGCTTTAGATAATGAGCATTGCTTGTTTTATCCTGGTGTGATGCTTCACTTTTACAACATGAATTGTTTGAGGTGGGACTTGTGCTGACCCCATTAGCTTCCATCTAGAAGCTTTCACACAAGAAGGAAAAATAAAATGCAAAGTAGACAAACAATGTAAACTATAGGGACCCAAGGAGACTCTGTAGATGTCAACTACCTCTAAACAGGTGGTGCCTTGTAGGTAACCCAGGCCTCTTTTTCTACTATTAAGCATTGGTATAGTGAAATATTTTTTATATAAGGGTTATTAGTTTTCTGAGAAATTTTTTATACCTTTATTTTATTTATTTTTATGTGGTGCTGAGGATGGAACCCAGGGCCTCGCATGTGCTAGGTGAGCGTTCTACAGCTGAGTCACAACCCCAGCCCTTCAGAGAACTTTAAAGCTAGTTTTGATCTTGTTTATTCTATGGAATACTGATTATGAAATGTTATTTTAGTGGCATAGGATCCCCCCTTTTTTTAAAAAAAAATAAAGACAGTCTTAGCTCCTTGGGGTTTAAACAGATAAGTGGTATTCTTATTAGTCTAATGGATGCCTTCAAATTTAATAGCATTTATTTGCTGTGATGAAGTCAGTCAATCACAGTGAACACAGGCTGTTTTGATGACCATTAATTTGAAAATATGGTTCTGTATGTCAGTTACAATCTTAAGTGAGTCTGTTAGGATAGGTCCAAAGTAAGGAGATCAAGATACCTGAGTCTCACAGACAAGTAGTTGAAAACAGCAGGGTGGTTGGGCGAGTGGGTGGGTGGTAACTTAATAAACACCTTATTCTGCAGTATTTGCTATTTAATCAGAAAGATGATGGAAAGGCTTGTGTGTTCCTGGGTTTGTAGGAAACAGATAACTTGGGTGGCCAGGGGTAAATGCTTTGGAGACT